CCCCTGTGGGACTCCACTCGTAACAGGTGCCCATTCTGAGCAGTAGCCGCCCGCAGTGACTTTTTGTCGCCGTCCGTTTAGGAAATCTTGAATCCAGTTCAGAAGATTTCCTCTTATCCCTACTTCTGACAACTTTTGAATGCGGCGCTTAAGTGGGGCGCAATCGAACGCCTTGCTGAAGTCGAAGTAAATGACATCAACTGGATGTCCTTCATCCATGGCCTTTGACCAGTGTTCGAGTGACGAAAGCAGGTTTGTGAGACGTGACCGCTTTTCGCAGAAGCCATGTTGAACTGAGGCGATGTGACAGCGGAAAGTATCGAGTGACGTAATAGATTTTTTAACTACTTTTTCCATCAGTTTGCAGCAATTGCATGTCAAACTAACCGGCCGGTAGTTCGTGGGACATAGCCGTGATCCTCCCTTGTGGATAGGTACGACGTTTGCCAACTTCCATGTGTCAGGTAGTTTGCCAGCTTCCAGCGATTTCTGGAAGATTATAGAAAGTGGCTCTGCTAATTCTTCGGCTAGCTGACGCAGGAGTACACCTGGGATCTCATCTGGTCCAGGTGACTTGGCCGGATCCAGCTTATTTAGCTCTGTTAAAACTAACTGCGGAGTAAAAAATACTGTGCTTATAAGTGGTTGGTTGGCGGGCAGTGGAAGAGAACAGGACTGGAGGGATGGTTCCGTGGTGTAGACACTTTGGAAAAACTCAGAAAGGAGCTGGGCTTTTCGAAGGCCATCGCTCACAATTCGGTTATTTTTTTCCTTTAAGGTTGCCAGATGGTCCCGGTTTTCCGTATTGCTCCTGATATATGCATAGAACGCTTTAGGTTTTTGCTGCGCCTCTACTAGGAGCTTCAGTTCATAAGAAGCTCGTACTTCTCGGATGAGTCTTTTGCATAAGGTTCGTTGTTGTCTGAATTCTTTAAGTTTTTCCGGGTTCTCCGTTTGTAAGAAGATTTTCCACAGCTTGCGTTTTTTTCGGATTTCCATCTTAACCGATGTTGTTAACCATTTCGGTGTGTTTCCGGTTGGATGTTTCTTGAGGGGACAGTATCGTTCAATCAGGTCTCTCATAGTTGATTCGAAGGTTGTCCAGCATTCGTTGACGTCTCCTCGTAATGCTTCCGTCCATAGAGTGTGTCCAATCTCTGATTTCATTGCCTCAAAGTTACCCCGCCAGACATTTCTTAACGACTTTGAGCTTCGTTCGGGGACAGCTACGAGTGTCGACTCCCACATTAATGTCATGTGATCACAAGAACCTAGGGGCGGACCTACATTTATTTCATCAACGCTTTCCTCGTTCTTGGTAAACACGAGGCCTAGGCAACTAGCTCTCTGACCTTCACGCATCCGAGTCACAGTTCGTACATGCTGAAATAGAAATTCATCAAATGCCATGTCTAATAGTATTTGGTCGAATCCTTGTCTGTGGCCCTTAACTGTCATAAGGTCCCAGTTAATCCGCGGAGCATTGAAATCTCCTACAATAATCATATTTTGCTTTCCACTGTCCTCGCGGAGTCGAGTGATTAACGCTTGATCTTCGTCGGCAGGTTGATTTGGAGGNCCCTAACATTGTATATTCCCGATCGAAAACCGACAAGGCAACGGGCTCGTGGCCCGGTGAGTAGAGGCGTTGACTTCTAAACCAACAGGTCGCGAGTTCGAGGCTCGGGTGTTCCACACTTCGGGCTTGGGTATGGCTGGCTGACGACGGCTAATAAGCCAGAAATGGCCATTCCAGTCTCCCTTGTCTTTGTCGGTAATACTATTCTGCCTATATATCATGCGCCGCTGTGCGGCTGCTGGTTGGGCTCGAGAGAGAGTCCATAAGGCACAACGGAACGAGTGAGTTCCGTATGAACGATCGGTGAGCGCCCCCTAACATTGTATATTCCCGATCGAAAACCGACAAGGCAACGGGCTCGTGGCCCGGTGAGTAGAGGCGTTGACTTCTAAACCAACAGGTCGCGAGTTCGAGGCTCGGGTGTTCCACACTTCGGGCTTGGGTATGGCTGGCTGACGACGGCTAATAAGCCAGAAATGGCCATTCCAGTCTCCCTTGTCTTTGTCGGTAATAGCATTCAGTCGGAACAGTTTCAGAATCTTAATGGCTTCATCTTCTTTTATTAAGCTATCCAGACACTCCTGCAAGGTCATGATATCATCATTTATCCTACATCTGGGGTTATCGTTCGTTGATTCACGAAGTCCATGGACGACTATGCATTGTGATCTGTCCACAGCACCTCCATTCGACGAATTCTGTTGGATAATTGGTCTGACCGATGATGAGGCTTCCCCAAGTTGGGTTTCGATGCTAGTTGCAGGAATATTCGTAAGAGTATGTACTTCCACTCCCACTCTAGGTTCATTTTTATTCGGTCCTGTGTTGGTCGACGCTCCCGTCGAGTCCATATTGCTGGTGACGGGGACAGTAGTAGTTAACGGGGCGTCGAGGATGTCCTCATTGGTGACGTGAGTGGGAGAGGTGGCAGTCGTCGCCGTCACGCAGTTTGTGACGGAGATAATAGGGGTGGTGGTGACTGACAACGGAGGGGCATCAGTGGTGTGATCACCAGCTGCGGAAGTGGTCCTTATGGGTGCCGTGGGGGTTGGTGCAAGGGCGACGTGGGGGATGTTTGTGGAGGCAGCACGTGACGTTGTTAGGTTGTTATTTCACTGGGCCCAGATTTGTCCGTGCGCGGAATGATCGTTGGCAGCGTGAGCATGCTGAAAGGGACTAGGTGTTGGCGTTGGGGATTTGGGGTGCCTGCTTTTTGGCTTTCGCAGAGGTGACCCGGTTGGCTACATAGATTGCTACTCCAGTCTTCGCTGGTTTTTGCCAGGTCGTTCGGTCCTGGGAGAAGTCCTCTCAGGTCTCCAGACTGATTCGCAAGTGCTTCGGAAGGTTTTGCAGGATGTCCTTGTAGCGCCAGTTTCGTCCTCTTTATCAACGAACACCCGTAGCAGCATCACCGCAAAAGTGTCGCTTCGGTAGTCGCTCGTCGTCCATCCTCAGGTGGCGGCTCCATCTCAGCCAAAGTTGCCTCAGCATGGCGTGCATGCTAAGGATCCTGATCCGTTTCAAGACTTCCTTGTCGCGGATCCTGTCCCGCTCCCCCAGCCTTAGTATTCTCCAGAGACAATTGAATGGGAAGTGATTGAGCTCTCTTGCTAGATTGGCGTGGACTGTCCGTGCCTCCGTCCCGTGTAACGGTGTTATCTGGACTATCGCCCAGTACCTCTTGAGCATCGTCTTAATTTGAAGTCCATGGAGGTTTTATACTGAGTCCTGCAGTCAACCCAAGGCCCGGTCAGCTTTGGAGATCCGGTGGGCCACTTCGTCATTAATTTTGATGCTGCGTGAGATTGTGCTGCCTAAGTGGACAAATTTGTTGACGGTTTTGATTTGGGTTCCATTGACGATGATGCGAGGGATATTGTGTTCAATGTCGGTTGACGGCAGATGAATGATCACCGTTTTGTCCTTGTTGATGGCCAGCCTAACGTTGGCTCGGCCGGCGGCGAAAAGGTCCATGCTCCGTTGCATGTCTACTTCTGTCGCGGCGTTGAGCGCGCAGTCTTCCATGAAGAGCAGGTCGTGGATAGACACGTTGGGGCCTGCATGCGCCGGTAATTGAGAAGATGGCCATCGGTCATACAGACAATGCTGATCCCAGGGTGCTCATCACGGCAGGGGTCCATCAGTATAGCAGAGGACATGAAACTGAAGAGGGTGGGAGCGAGTACGAAGCTCTGTTTCATTCCATTGGTCGCTGCAAATGCCTCGGAGATTGCGTCGTTGTCCGTGACGCGCGTCATCATCCCCTCGTGGAGCTGCCGTTCCATGTGGGTGAATCCTTCTGGACGGCTGAATTTCTGCATGGTTTTTCATAGTACATCGTGGCCCACAATGTCGGAGGCCTTCCTCTGGTTCACGAAGTTAATGTAGAGGTGGGTCTGGATTTTATGACATTTCTTTTGAAGGTGGCAGGCGGCGATGATTAAGTAAATGGCACCGCGGTGTCGTCAGAATTTACACCGGCCTTCCAGGCGAAGTTCCCTTTCTAGATGGCCGTTGGAACGGTAAAGGAAAGTGCGAGCAGCAATCTTCCTGTCAGAGTTGAGCAGCGAGATGCCTCTGTGGCTAGTACAGAGTTGCCGGTCCCCTTTCTGCTTGTGGAGATGGACAATTGTTGCGTATTTGAAATCCTTTAGCCTGTCCTTGGCGCACATCGCCTAGAATAGTGTTCTGATCTTCTCCATCAGCCGAACTCGCCGTGCTGGTAGAAATCAGCGAGGATTGTCCCGGATCACCATGTTTTCCGCTTGACAGCTGGTGCAAAACTGGGATTGTTTCTGGGGAGGGGGGAAAGGTGGGAGGTACAGGTTTCTGTTCGTCCATACTTGAGGGATCCGGCCGGTGGCAGTGTCGAAGATCGTGGACGGGCGGTTCTGAGATGCTCGTTCCAGCGCTTCGGAATCTGCGATTTCACTATCAGGAGTGTTGTTCTGCCGGAGCTGAGCGTCGGCGTGGTTCCTCGGATGCATGGGCCGTTGACTGCCTGGATCGAGGACGAAGGAGTCCTTTGTTTCATTGTGTTCCATGTACCCTTGCATTTCCCCAGCTTTGTGATCCACCCGAGTGTTTTGAATCTCAAGAAGTCGCTGTTTAACTTTCCTGTTTGCACCGGTCCTGTGGTTGGCTTAGGCTTTGTGCAACCTATTCTTGTCAGCGAACAGATTGCGCGCCTCTTCATCGTTGTCTTCGAACCAATCCTGATGTTGACGGCGTGCGCGACCGAGGACGTCCAGGGGGCGGAATAGATGAAGTTTCGCAATTTGCGCCACTGTTACTCCACGATGACGTTGTGGTCTTGAGCCTGCAGTTCCTCCGGTTGCCAGACAAACTGATGCTGAAATGTAAACGGTGAGCAGGCGAAGTCAACATACCAATACTTAACTTACCTAATCGGCGCTTACCTTGTGGTCTACTGCCGGTTTGCAGTCTAGGCCTCACCCTCGAGATGACGAGGCGATGGTCTGTCCAGCCGTCGACGTCGCAGATCGCCCGGATCCTCAAAACATTCTGTTGATCTTGCCTCCGGAGGATAACGTAATCCAGCGACTGCCAGCGCCCCGATCGGGAGTGCGTCCAGGTCGCCCTCTTCCCCATGTGCAGGCGGAAGGTGTTGGTCAGGAGGAAGAGGCGAGGTTCTACGCAGGTTCGCAGAAGAAGGCGATCGTCGTTGTTTCAGTCGGCGATTGCGTAGGGACGCAGTACTCCCCTCCAGACAAACTAGTCTGTCCCGCCAAATACGTCGAAGTCGCCAAGAGCAACCAGCTTGTCTGCCTTTAGCATAGCTGCTAGGAGAGCGTGCGGGTCTACGCCTCGTCGGAGTTGGTCATTGGGGGGCGGCGGGCGTGACCACTGACAATGATGGCGAATTTGGCTCCCCAGAGAGGCAGGTGCAGGTCCATGAGGCGGTCGTTGATGTCCTGTGTCTGATAGGGCAATCGTCACGCGATATCGTTCCGAATGGATTCTCAAGAAGAGAACTAGCATTCCTGGCTGCCAGAGGGGACGGGCTTGTTTTAGCAGCCTGTGGGGTGGGCCGGGAGGGTGAGAACATGAGTTGTTTTCTTTCCTTGGTTGTTTCGATTGTGAGGTGGGCATCTGCAAGCCACGTTCTGCGTGCAGACGACGTGTCCCCAGCAGTTGCATATACGGCATATTTAGATAACATGGAATAACTCAAAATTATCTCGATATTCCATAAGAAAGTTTTGCCTTCCTTCTGTGAATTTTTTTCAACGGTCGAAATCTAACAAAGCAGTCTCTTATCTGGGCTTTGGAGTAATCTGAGCCTTCTTCCATTATAGTATGAATCGCAAAAGGAGAAAAGACTATTCAGGGTGTACAAAATGTATGCATACTCTAACAGCCGGCGGCTCATTTGGTGTTCCTCTCTTTTCAGCTTTAACCCACCAGAATTAATAATGGTGGCCAGACAAAGGTTTTAACTAAGGAAGCTCATCTTTATGTGCTACTGGAAGTTTGCTAGCGCAGTTGAAATGCTGAGACAGGTTGGGAGGAAGTTTCAAGTGCACGCACCTATGCAATTTAACGGTACTCGAAATACAAATGTGAAGAAGATCAGACTGTTTAGAATTCCTGCAAAAAGCATCCCTAAAGGCCACCGTCATTAGCCAGCCCCGCAAAGTAAGAAAAGTTACTTAGAATGCATAACCATTGGCAAAGTCTGGGGGACAAGCGAGTCATAACACAGGGAGTCGGCACCAACATTGTTTGAAGTTTTCTGCTCGTTGCAATAAAATCAACCCGTAAGATTTAAAAGCTGAACATCTGGGGCACCATCACAACGTATTCTTATGATAACAGCTGTTACAAAGGTAAATTGTACATTTTTCAGCCTGGCTACCTCAGCCGAGAGAAACTGTACGAACTTTTTGAAGGATTCGCCAAAGAAGCTGACGAACGCCTCAGGAAAAATCTACAAAGCCCCTATCAGTGTGAGTCTACCGTGTATACTAGACCAAGTCACAATTAGGGTGAATAAACAACCAAGCAAACCTGCAAGCTTACTTGACTCTTTCACTTGGCCGGGGTTTCGTTCTTGAGTTAAAATGTTTCTTCATGATTAGCTTTGAGTGCTCTTGTTTATTTTTAGAAAGACGGAGCAATTTTTATGCGCTGAACCATGTTGAACTATCCCCACAATGCCACCTTGCTTTATTTGATTAAAAAGGGGCAGACGCGGCCTCCGGTTAGGCACTCCAATAAGCCCCTGTACTGTAATGTGTCACTTTTAGCTGATAGAGATGTTTTCTTACCAAACGTTTATTTTGGCCATCTAAGATGGGCGACCTCGATAAATATGATGATTAAAGTAGCTCTACCCTCATTGCACTCTCCTAATAAGAAATTATACTACATATTTCGAATATGAATGCCATTGGATGCTACTGGCAAACGGCCAAAGCTCTAGTTTGTCTGTGGATGCCTATACTATCCTCATTATATTATAAGTCAGGTTGCCTTCCCCGGCCATTATTACAATGGGAGTCGTTGTATAGCGTTCTAGCACTTTTATTTCACAGTCATTTGCCAGAAAACTAAGACCACTTTAAGCCAGCATTCGAACTTTGGCCTCGATCGTTGAGAGGCTAAATCTTTACCAACCAACGAGTCTATTTCGGGACGTCTTTCTGCGATCGGTTATTGAATGACTTTTAGGAGATCTGCGCACAAACTGGGAACAAAGTATTGGTTAAATGGAACTGTTTACTCGGAGTAACTGTCGATTATACTTTAAAAGGCCTTGAGCTCAGCATAAATAATTTTTGTACTTGCTTTATCGCCCTCACAGGGTCAATTTTCGAGTACCATGAACGTCATGAACGTTTTATTCCACCGGACAAGTCAGTGGACTCCTACAATCTCCCGGATACGAACAACTCCGCTGTAATCGAAATTTCTCGAGAGCCCGAGGATTTAACTGACATATACGCGCTAGATAGAGGTACGGTGAGCTTACTGACAGGCATGCTTGACTGGTGCTTCTTAAAGCCTCTGCGTCTCTCTCCACCCAGCCAAATGGCAAAAATAAAAGTAGTCACCTGACTGCACGGTAGCCAAACTTATCTTAGGGGTTTAATCTAAACTGCATTTCTCTCAAGTTTGCCAACTTTAACTAAATTAAGACCTGCTTTTTGTCGAAATATGGTAGCAATACAAGCGAAGTTGACCGAAGCTGCCGGGAAAGTGAGCGAAGTATGTTCGGCTACATATCCTACAGAAAAGTTCACCTGCAGCAATGCGAACATTGTTTCAGTCAGCCAGTTTATCGCCTTGTCTACGACCTTCATGGGCAACGGCGCGTCCGTGGAGGACTACACAGAATTGGCTGATTATCTTCGTCGGAATTTTAACTCGAATAATTATTCAATGGATATTCACAATACAAAAGTAAGCATTATTTGATATTACGAATGGAAGAGAAAATGCGCATTCCAGGTTCTTGTTTAAAATAAGGCGAAGGCACGATCACTGGGACAGTAGGTTTATTTGCCTGAGCTTTCGAACTCGAACTAGAGTTCATCATCAGAGACTACTCGAGTGCAGCACTCGAGTAGTCTCTGATGATGAACTCTAGTTCGAGTTCGAAAGCTCAGGCAAATAAACCTACTGTCCCAGTGATCGTGCCTTCGCCTTCTTTTAAATTATTTGATATGCACAAGTTTATTATAGAAACTTCCACAACATTTGATATAGCACAGTACTTTTCTGAGAAAATGATGGGTAGGATGCATAATTTGCTGAACAAATAAACTATATAGACTGTCCCGTTTTCCACACAGTTTGGTTAGTAGATGTAGTTAATGGATCTTGTAAACCTCTTTTCACAAGTTGGTTCCGTGGTCTCTGCAGTAAATTTATTCTGAGAGGAGTTTAGAACGTGGTTATGGGCTTTGAGTGCCACACATCGTTCTTATGATCCTTGTTGTAGGGCCTCGCGAACACAGCAGTGACAAGTTCGCAAGTCATCGATGAGCACTCCAGAATTTGAAGTTACTCATCCGCTAAGAGTCAAACATAAGGGTTAAAGACGCAGTCTGTCATTCAGATCCTCACCCTGACTGTGGCGGAGTCCCAGGCGAGGGCAACTTAGAAATTTGTGGATCTTGTTTTAAAGGACCATAGTCTACTTGGTTCGTTAACTTTGGCACGAAATTAAAGTGTTTCACTTAAAATCCCCAAGATAGAGTTACGTTGGCGGTGCTTAACATAGGTTATACGAAGTGATCGTATTTTAACACTCAGTCAA